GCAGCTCAATGACAACTCCCATTCTTTTCTTTGTAGAGTTAAAGGGCTCAACTTTCACAACATTTGAGGCTTGTCTTACTTCTTGGAAGTCCCCTCCAAGTGACAACCCAAATTCTAACAGAGCAGTTTCTGTAGGAGTTCCCAGTATCTCAGTTTTGTTTCCTTTGCCCACAACAATCTCACCACCAGTGTTGGTAAATATAGATTGCAGTAGAAGTTTAACAGCAGACTCAGGGATACCAGAGGCAAATTTCATAGCAGCATCAGAACCATTTACCTCTTTGGCTTGCTCACAGATGCAGGCTTTTACAACTGTCATGTGATTTGTTGTAAGAGTTCCAGTCTTGTCACTACAAATAGTTGTTGCAGATCCCATTGTCTCACAAGCAGCTAGATTTCGCACTAGCGCTTTGTCATTCATCATCTTTTTCATGGCAAAAGCAAGACTTAGTGTCACAGCCAACGGCAGACCCTCTGGGACTGCAACCACAACAATTGTTACAGCAACAGCGAAATATTCCAGCATTGCCATCAATTCATCACCCGTCCAGATCCAGTGAGAAGCATCTAAGCGCTTCTGATTAGCCAATCCTTGAACCAAAACAGCAAACGTAATGACAGCAAAAAATAGACCTATTTTACCAATGATGGTTGCCACACCATTAAGTTTTACTTGCAAAGGTGTCTCATCATCGCCGCCTTCACTTAGTGTAGCCATCAGTTTACCCCATTGAGTCCTCATTCCAACTGTGGTCACCAACATTTTGCAAGATCCATCCTGAACCTTGGTACCAGAGAGAAGAAACGGGTGTTCCACACTGACACTAACCGGTTCACTCTCTCCAGTCAAGCTGGATTCATTTATCAGAACAGAAAACCCTGAGATAAAAAGCCCATCAGCCGGAATCTGGTCTCCAATGCCAAGGTGAACAACATCGCCAGGCAGTAGATCATATATTGAAATTTTTTGCCTCAGTTTGTCTCTGGTTACCTGAACCACAATCTTTTTCTTCTCTGCATCCAGGTCCTTGAATTGCAGGGATTGCCTATAATCACTAGTGGCAGTGACAAATACAACAAGCAGAATACTCGCCACTATACCAAGTCCGTCATGGGCACCGATAGGCCACCCTTCCATCAGTATTCCAACTATAAGCGAGACAAACGCACATGCAGCTAGAATCATGAGGGTGGTATCCTGAAGGGCTTCCCAAACAAATAACCAAAAGCCACGAGTGGGGCTTTCTGTGAATTGGTTGATTCCATAAATTTCTTTTCTTACACTCAGCAGGTCTTCAGATGTACTAATCCCACTAGCAATCGACGTGGAGAGTTTTTCAGTGAGGCCCTCAGTTCCACCATGAATTTTCAACTTTTTCACATCGTGACCTTCTACAATTGATCCCAACTCATCAGGACAAATCTCAAATCCTGCTTTTCTTACTTCTTCAGGTACTGTGTACTCACTGGACAGCTTCAGACCTGTAAGCACGCAATACCTTCTCGTTAAGGAAAGCAAATATATATCATAAAACACAAGGGAGTAGGCTATTCTCACTATTAATGAATTGAAGTGCAGCTTGCGAAACTAAGACCGCCACTCGAAACTTTTCCTGCATTTCATAAGGTTGACAAAGGAAAATAGTATTATAACAAAAGCACAAACAAACAGTAAGCCTTTATCTCTATAATTACACCTCATTTAAAAAGTGTTTTTGTACAGGCTAGAAAGAACACTGGATTAAAAACCAAAGATGGTACTTAAAGACTCTCACGGATGAGGTCCAAGGCAGAAACTCCTAAACGTTCTTACTAGCAAACACCAGGAGCAGCCTAAACTCTCAATGTCTTAAAACAGAAACAAAAGCTTATGTAAATCTCGGTCATAACTCACAGACAAAATTTTAAGGTAACGATCCTACATCTGAGGGAAACAAAAAACAGATGCTAAAGTAGGTGATTCTAAAACGAGAGAGTTGTAGTTTCAATTTCAACATAAAGATCCAAAACCTGGGGATAAGTACTTACGAAAATACAAGAAACGAGCTCACTTAGATCCCATTGAAGAACAAACTAGTTAGAAGAAGTAACTGGTGCTACTGCTAAAAACAGTGAATCAACGCACCAAATACTCGGAATGCATTTGAATCAAGAGATTACATAAGATCTCCAACAGTATATAGAAAGATTGTTTCAGTAACTAGTAACCAAACTCGCACCTGATTGGAACGCCGAATCGCCTCGGCCTCGGAACGCTTGGAGAGATTAGCGGTGAATCTAAATCTCCTTTTAGGATTCTTCACGATCCAGCAGAGCTTCCTCCAACGCTGCAACGCCTCATCTGACGAGTTCTTCGGCTTCACATCGCCGAAGTTTTCGTTCAAATAACTCTCCATTTCTTAAGCTTACTCTCGAACAACGAGTGAATTCGTAGCTATACTTCAGAGGAGATAGATTAGAGAAAGAGAGAATCAAGGATCTCGTAAATCGAGGAACGAAGAAGATATTATATATAACAGTTACAAGTCCTCACTGGTAATGGAGCTTTTAACTTCTTTTGTTATTTACCTTATTGGTCAAGAGGAAGACGATGCTTTGACGCGTCGTCTCGCACTAAGTGAGCTTCGCCGAAGTTTCCTCTGCGTGTTCTGAAATTTCTCATGGCGATGGTTCTTTTTTAAAAAAAAAACTCATTTACTCAGAGATGATGACTTGGAGTGGTCAAGAAAGTCAAAGCTACTATACTTTCTATTTACTGACTTGGACTTTAGTTCAACAAACTTGTTAGTATATTCTAGATTATGGAATTTTATTTACTATATTGTATAATCATAGTAAAAAAGAAGATTATAAAGTTATTAAAATCTATATAAACAAATCTAGTTACTCTATATAACAAGGAAAATATCAATGGATATAACAATTACATAATAGTGTGTATGACAAAAAAAGAAGAAGACATTATTATCCTATACTATTATTTAGGGAGTACACTTTATAAGATATCATTAACTAACCTTCTATTTTGTAAGAATTTACTTAAGAATGTCATTACAAAAATCTTCTTTTAGAACAAATTTCATTCAATTTATTAATAATAAACAAGTAAAATACTAATTTATGTCATTTAATTAATTTAATTAAATTATAAACGAAAATCTGTTATTATTTTCTTTTTTAAATGACCAATCAAAATGAACATATAAGATTTGATATCTAACTTACCATATTAATTTGTTATTAATCATTAAACTTCACCTCTCATCTTTATATGATTATATTAATATGAAACAAATAAATCATCATATCATCTACATAATAAAAAAAAAGTAAATTTTTTTCTGCATATGCCAAGATTTGAATTTTTAAAAACGCATATAAATTGTTCAATCTATAAAGGAAACAATTAAACGGGTCAAAAATTCAGACTTGAGTAATATATTTCTTTTACACAAAAATAAAGTCAACAAAAATTCCGACTGAGCAACGGGTCAGAATTTGAATATTTATATTCGATTTTATACATTTATTTTTTTGAAATGTATAATTTTATATACTACAATAAAAATTTAAATATTTTAATTTGCAACATTTAAAATAAGTTTTACTTGATATTTTTAGAGAATATCATCAATACTTAATAGTTCAAAAAGTTAAAAATTATAAATACTCTAATTTGATTATTTTTAAAAATATTTATAATAGGTAGCGGGTTAAATATAATATATTATATGATGAAATGAGTTTTGATCCTTATAACTATTTGAATAGTTATATTTAATTTCATATAATTTGTTTTTTGAAATTCATAATTTTATAAACTACAAAAAAATTTAAAGATTTTAATTTGAAATATTTAAAAATAGTGTAGAACATTTAAATATGGTTTGACACCTCTAAATATTTGAAAATTTGATTCCGCAAGCAATTTTAGAATTAACGAATAATAGATTGTGCACGCAATATTTTAAAATGAAATATTGGGATTCTAAAATAAAAATATAGACACCACGCATGGGTTGATTTTGGTATTATTATATACTAAATATATGTTTATAACATATTCGATTATGCGAATAATTGGTAAATTCCGTAATTATAAATCTCAAACAAATTCTGTAATTAGATTAGCTCAAACAAATCTCTATTTCAACAACCAAAGAATTATGAATTGAAAAAGAATTTTCTAAATTAATTCAAAATAATACCTAATTTTCTTAATTAATTCAAAATAATCTATGTTTTATATGCAATACTATTTTGTGGTTGTTAACATAAATTAACTCATTGTTAAAAAAATATTACTTTTTAAAAAATAAAATTATTTTCCGTTTTCATATCTTAAAAAAAAATTATCCATAATTGAGTATTATAGAAAAAATTCTATATTTATTCTAATATTGTATATAAGGACTGACAAAAAAATTAATATTTTTTCACTTACTATTATAATATATTAAAACTTAGTTCTAATATATATATTATATAAATTTTGTAATAAATAAAATTCAACCCGTACTTTAGTACGGGTGATGATCTAGTTATGTTTTTATATTTGCTGATGTTTTCGTAAATACTGCGTGGTATTTATTATCTAACCCAACAAAAAATTTAATATTGTGTAAAATAATACTATGTTGTAAACTAATTTCGAATATCGTGAGCGATAAAGCCACGCGGTATTTATGAAATTGCCAACTTGGTCATTTACGAAAAGTCGAAAATGCTGCAACTATCATTTCTGCGAATTTGGTTTGTCTTTTTAGCAAATAAACCCGTAAAAGAACTGTGTTCATAGGCATTTTTATCATTTTACACTTGAAAATAGTCGTCTCTAGTTACAAATTTATGGTCCTCGCCGAATAAAGATTCCTTTTGGTCTTCGAGTCTATCATTTTTTTTTCGGTTCGCATTGACTCGGAATATCCAAATATGAACACCCTTCTTTTTGTTTTCCACTAGTTTAATAATCTTCATTTTAGTAGTATGAACTGAACTCTAATTAATATTTCAGTTTACTTTTATAAGCAAACAAAACCCGAGTAGAGAGGAGTAATATGAGTTTGTCAAGACTACACTCAGAACAACGCACAGGGAACTTCACAGATTGAAAAAGAAGACTACCCGAAACTTGTTTTCTCAGTCGCTCCAGTTGTCTTTATCTTCGGCTACTTCATCCTGGACCTGCAAATAGACAAATCTTGATCAATGGGACATCCACAAGAAGACTCGTGTAACCTCTAATATATGAGCATTTGAAGTAGTGATAGAATTTAGCTCAACCATTTCGTCTTCCACCGATCCGCCTGGTGACCACACAAGTATTTGTCTATCTGCGCCACTTGTATATAGTTCCTATGAGCAAGTATAACAAGTAATTCGGATTTAGAGGTGTGTTTTGAAGCAAACTTACAAAGTCAAATGACTCGCGAGACTCGGAAAGTTCTAAGGATTGAGTTATACCTGATCACTGGAATTAAAGCAGCAAGTGTTCACGCTTTCGTAGTGTCCACGAAGCATCAGTGTTGTTCTACCCGACCACATGCCAAAAGTCTTATATACAGTTGCAGCACAATTCATTAAAAAATGCAAGTAATGGAATGAAAATAGTTTCTGATGCAATAGTAAGTTGGTGACTACCTTCACAGTCTTCATGCACGGAACAAATACAAGAGCTGGATCATCGCTTGTATCTAATTGAATCGCTTTGTTTGTCTGGATGCGTCCAGTTTCAAAGTTCACCAGGGTATTGCGTCCAGTTTCAATATCCCACAATCTTATTCTTGAATCCGACCCTGAAACATAATATGCAAATATAATAATAATTAGACTCTTAACTGCTGTATCGCCACTGATGTGTACGGTATTAATCAGTTCTTGCAACCACAAATTGACATAGTTCACTCAATGCTAAAACCCCTAAGACATCACTTCCACTTCGTAGTGGGTCATTACCAGCCGAAGATCATACTCTTGTTATGAAGTTACAGTTCCTATTACCCTAGTAGTGCCTCATATCACATATTAAGAACCAAGTGCAGCACAAAAGCAAGCTATAATCATGAACTCAAATTCAGGCATAAAACAGTTGGCACAATCCACACTTGCAGGTTCATTCCAAAAGTTGTTCAGACAAAGGAAAACATAACAACTAATAAATAGGCTAATGGGGAAAAAGAAAAAACATCCGGAACAATACTTGCTTCAACTGGCAAACAGAGGATCAGAGCCATGGATCCATCCAGCTAAGGAAACATGGGTCATGAACTTAGAACTTAGTAACTTCCAAAACCCACGTACATGTGCCTCCCGATCTCATAAGTTGAAAATACTACTTTTAGGATCCCAAGGACTTTTGATTTTCTATGCTAATCATGCTAATCTCACTAGAAAGGCATGTAAAATATTAACCAGCAGATGCTGCTTATACCAGTTTGTGACAGAGTTCAAATAAATAACAAAAAAATTAGCCATGACAATAAGAACTTACCAGCACTAAGAAGATACATCCCATTGTTAGTTGCCTTTAAGCCAGTAACAACACCATAATGAGCCGTAGCACGATCTAGAGTAGATAACATTCCAGGGTGAATTCTCTTCTGTCGAGACTTTTCCGTTGAAGCTTTAGCGCTAAATGACCCCTTTACACTTTGGCTGCCAGCGTGTTTACTTTGCAGTGTTTTCAACCTATTTTGGCCCCCCAAAGAAGATTTTGCAGCTGAAAAAAACTGTAAAAGAAGATAATAAAATTACTAAAGGGAATCCCCTCTCAATAAAACAGATATTGATAATCCATTCTTTCTGCCAAATGTAGGCTTGTAGACATGCAGGGCTAACTGGATATAAATAATGGTCCTAAATTTAAAAGGCGTGTCAGTTACACTAAATTACACTCTTACACAGATGCGTCTAAACAATATAAGAAGAGATACCAGTTTAAATTTACAGACTTCAGGGAATTTAAACAGAAAAAAAAAAAAAACAATAAGTAGTTCATAACCTGTCTTTTCAAGAAATTTAAAGCAGTAAAAAGAAAGTACCAAGTTTCAGGAACAAACCTTACTGCTAACCGCTGTTCGCTTTAAAATCGGTGGTCGGATCCCAAGTTGTGTTTGTGATTGATCTAGAACACGGAAACATCCAGCACGTCTGATGTCCCAGAAACGTATTGCACCATCACACCCCCCAGTATACAAAACCCACTCGCTGGAAGTAGACCATTCAACTGACATAACACCATCTGGCATATCATCAAAACAAGACAATTTGGTAGCCTGTTTTTTTGGTTTTTTAACGAAGGAATTTTGGCATTGTGGAAAGCATGAGTATAGTAGCTTATTGTTCCAGTAGTCATCAATTGATTCTATACAAAAAGCTGATATAATTTCTTTTCCAAAGAAAGAAAAGTAACATACCACGGTGACCCGATAATGTGTGAGAGAATGCCCCAGAAGCTATATCACAGAGGCGAACCTGGACATCTTCAGTTCCAGCAGCAATCAACGTGTGAGACATTGCCATAGAAGACATGGCAGTTCTATAAACCTTTCCAGGCATTTTAAAATCCACAACCGCCTAAAACATATGAAAAGACAAAATTAGAGAGACTAGGGAAAGAGATATGCGCCTTGAAAATACAAAAACGAAAGTGATATGCTTTCTTAGTTAAAACTTGGTACCTGGGCAGTATTGGTATCCCAGACTTTTAAGTAATGATCATAAGAACCTGTAATGAACAGCCCAGTGTCAATGGGATACCATATGGCAGAGGATATGGCAAATTTATGTCCATTATCATGTTGCTTGTCGACAGTAAATATACACTTGTGCTTGGCAATAAGACCACTTGCCTCGTAATCAGTGGCCCGCTGAACATCAAATACAGCAGCTGAACCATCTGCTGCTCCAGAGAGAAGATATCTCCCCTCCGTCAAATCAACCTGATAACACAGGTTAATACATAAAGTAAGCAACACAACCAGCTGATCAATTCACATTATTAAAGAAGAAACACCAGCTACCCAAATATGAATGACTACTCTATAAGCAGCAAACTAGATTTAGTCCCTGATCTTAATCATACCCTAAAGTAGGAAATATTTTAGTGATTTCTCAGCAAGACTTTGAAAATTCCCAAGAAACCATCACATGAAGAAGTCAGGGATAAGGAACCTGAAGGGAGTTAACGGAGCCACGATGAGGAGAAACAAAATCTTTTCGATTAGAGAGTTGGAGAGACAAAATCCGGCGGGATTTGAATCGATTGGCGAAGGAATTGGAACGAATTCGACCGGTTTCTCTGTCTTTGATAGCCTTCCACATTCTCCTAGCATCTCGTCTTCTGATTCTCCTGGAAAATTACCAGACTATGTATACTCCAGCTCGAATCTCCGTTGTCCAGCTCCAAAGCCCTAAGAGAAGTTTTTTGATCTTCTTTTGCAAAGTTTGTGTTTTCTCTGTTAGAAAAACAAGGTCGCGATAACCAAAAAGCAATCGAAAGAACAAAACCAAAACACATCAAAGAACTTAATTTCGGTATAAACCTATAAACCGTCGGTTCAATTTATATCCTCTTTGGATCTATTTAATTTTCCAACAAACCGTTAAACAACTAATTAAATTCACATCCTCGTCAGATCTATTTTCCGGTAGCGATTTTTTTCTTTTCTTTTTGTCGGCGATTCACTAACGAATTAAACCGTTCATTTACTTTTTATCTCAATTTCTTTATTTTTTTAGATTTAAGAATTTATAACCCAACAAAATACATAAAGTTACTACTAAATCTTCACTAATCCACTAAAAACAATGATGTCAAAATGCGCCAAAATCTAAACATCAAACAAAACAAAGAGATTCAGCGTTTATTACCCAGAAAACTGAGAATTTGTTTAGAAGTAACTAATATATATAACTTATAATTTAATATTTCTTCAATGTTGAAATGAAGTTATAAAGATTTTTGAAGTTTGTACAAGAAAGTCACATACTTCATAGACGATAGACCACGAAAAAAAACTTGTACAAGAATATCCTGACGCTGAACTCCTAGAGGTAGACAATAGCTTCATTCCTAGCTAATTGTTCATCATCATCACAAAATTCTTTAAATAAACATTTCAATTTTTTGTCTCTATCTAACACCTGAAAGATGTGTAAATAATCACTGAGTTCGGGTAGTTCTTTTCCAATATTCGCTTGATCCAACCAATTAATCATCTTTTGTAAATGAGCACGAAACTCCGCTGGAAGCTCAAAGAGCTTAGGAAACACTTCCTCTATTGGTGAATCTAAAAATAAAAACAGTAGGTTAGAGCAAATGTATCTCTTTTCAATAACAACAGTAATAACAATAACAAAGAAGATTTTGGTTAGAAATGTAGGATTTGGGTCGAGTTCAAGAAGCCCTTCAATAGCAGTTTAACAAATCTCAAGACAGTGGATAAAGTTAATCGAAGTTTTCAGTTTTGTTTGCTTTAGATTTGAGCGAATCTTTTTGTTGTTTCTTAATAAATCCTAAGACACTGGATAAAATGACATTTTACCTTTTAAAATCTAGAAAGTTCTTAATAAATTCTAAGGTAGTGGATAAAGTTTCAAATTTTTATTTCTCAATAAATCTGTGAAGATGAAAAACAAAATCCAAATTTTGTTTACTTTAGTTTTGAGTGAATCTGTTTTTCAAGAGCATTTTACCTTTTCAGATGCTCTGTGTCTCAAAACCCTAGAAAGAAGGTGTGTATTTATTTAGGGCAATTCAATTTTTTTTTTTAATTTAGTTAGGAAACATACTATAACCTTAATTTCAAAACTTTCGATGATGCCGAAAAATCAATATGAAATATACATTAGATGCTAAAAACTCATATGAGAGTCAATGTTTTTTTGAAATAGTTTTTGTTGTAACATCAAAAATTTCTAACTTTAGTTTGATTAAGTTTTTTTGCTGTTGTTGTGTTAAAAATTTTTGATTAAGTTCGGAAAAAAAACTCTTAACAAATTATGAATTTAATTAGCAACGACTAAATTAATATTTGTATGTGTTTATGTTTCATGCTAGAATATATATTCTTTAGCAAGGTGAAATTATTTGATAAGTCTCGTTCTCACAAAAGTCGGATTAGCCCAAAAAAAAAAAAATTCTTTATTTTTTATTTGATGTTTTAGAAGAAAATTTGTTTTAAATTAGATGATGTTTTTAATTTTTATTGCAAAATTATTTAGTTTTTTTTATTGTTTTGATGATTTCTATTTTATAAATTGTTTTACTATTAGTTAAAGCATATTTAGGTAGATAATAAATGATGTTTTAGTGTATAAATAAATATACAAAAATTAAATGACTTTCTGGCAATTTTTGTGCAGAAAACTTTAAAATTTAAACATCGAAATAAAAAAATCGAGAAGTATGTAATAAGCCAAGTTTTGACACGTCATTAGTGATCACCAAAACGACAAATGCAAATATTTATTCTTGTTTCAGGAGAAAAATATTAAAATCAAAACAAAGTTGACATCTCAACAAAGAAGGTAGTAGTCACATGATTGAAACATACATTTGTCAACTAACACCATTCCAATTGCCAGAGACAATCATTTGGCACCTTAATTAATCGTTAATATTTATTTATAAGAGCTTAAATATGTTTTTTAATATGTTTTACAGACCTAGCGAAGCTTAATCATTAAGTGGATTGTCTTACGGACTCATACCTATTGCCATTGTGTCGACTTTTAGATCCGACCCGGTTGTCGGCAAATAAACATAAAGGTTCCGACCCGGTTCTACATAGTTGGTATGCTACACATAATGTCTATTGGAGTAACGTTTAAAGCATTTTTAACCCATTATTAAACCTTTTGTTTTATGGTCATCAACTCTCTTAATATAATAATCAAGACCAGGGTGGACAAAAGGTCATTTAGTTCAGTTTCGGTTGAATTTTACAACTTACATCAATATACAACTTTCGGTTTCAGTTTGGATAAGTTGAAAACCACAAAATTGATTAGTTTTTTTTCCGGTTTTTGACCCGATTTTTCAGTTTCCATAAATAATGTATTTCATATGCATAAGCATAAACTGTCCAATACCAAAAAAAAAAAAACTAGATAATACAACTCGAGAGAATGATTGGGAATACAACTCTGGTGGCTGTGATTGGTCCACAGTCTTAAACTTCAATTTTTTGTTTCAAACTTACTTTACAGGCTTTCAGAATACACACAACCAATTCCCTTTTGCATGGTCTTTTTGTGATTGTATGACTTTTCTTTTAACATATTCGGTGCTCTTATAAGTTCGAATATCAAAATATTTGTATACTTTCACAAATTTTGATAAATAATGGCTCATCACATCATATAAGTTTTTACATTATGTCAAATTTTGATAAATAGTTTATGTATATGTATCATGTATGTGTAATTTTTGATAAAATTTGAACTAAAATTAGTGACCAATCCTTTTTTTTTTTTTTTTTTTTTTGATAAACCCTATCGGCTATCCGGTCGGCCCCGGTAGGAACACACCGAGGTGCTACATAGTGGACTTGTCCACCGTGTTAACGGCTAGGCCCTTCGGGCTACCACTCTGCCTATCCCGAGTTTGGAATGCCTTCCGACTAAGTGCCAGGGGGTAGTCAGGCCGCCTGCATTTCTGACTACCAGGTAAACCAATTGGGGCAAAGCCCAACTGACAGACTTCCCACATAATGTTGATAACAGCAAGAGGAGGAATCGAAACCGGAGGGGAGGGACTTTCACCCAAACACCCCTGGCCCACCAACCACTCGCCCACCATCACATGGGCTAGTGACCAATCCTCCTCACTCTCCTTAGTCACGATGACATATTTTGGTTTTTGAAACGTATTCGAGACTCGAGAGAACAAACTCTTATTTGTCACTTTGAAGGTTGTTTTAATCATGCTAATGAGGTAGAATACTGCTCCTTGGAAAATGGTCGAATGAACATTTTACCGGATATTTTAATGAGCATCACATGACTAGACTTATCATGAGAACATATTAAAATTTCTCACATAACAAATTTCCAAAAAAATAAAAGCAAAAGATAACATATTAATGATATCATCCAATATTATGTGTACAGTATTAGTTACGATATAAATCTTAGAATTTGTTTCAATTTCAGTTTTTACCTACATGAATTTTATATGCTAGATATATTCTTTTCACACTAGTAAATATCCAAAAAAATTTACATCAATATTTGGTTTTTAAAAGGGATTAGTAAAGTCTTAAGTATGCTGTATGCGCATAGTAATAAACTGATAACCAGTTCTAAAAAAACCATATAATTTTAATTACTTAATTAGTGTTGACAAAAAACAAATTAGTTAGAAATGCCGCCATTATTAGACCAATGATAAAAGAGATAAGATCCATAATTGCGTAATAGTGAATCTTGACCTTATTAATTGAAGTCAGTTCGTTTATAATTTACGTGAAACATAAATAATAACTGGACGAAAATTTAAGTCACCTGAACAAAATGTACCATTAAAAAGGTACTCCAACTTTGCAATAGTTTTAGAAGAGCCCCAAACTTTAAAAATATACTAAAATCCCACTTGCTTGAAAATGAAACAAATCCAAAATTTCAATATAAAAAATGCTCCAAATCAGGAAACATAGATACGTAATGACTTCATCACACACCAACTCTGCATATAAATGGTCATCTTTCTATTCAAACCAAAAAATAAAATTAATCATCTTACTATATAATTATAACAAAATAGCAAAATTTGTATAAATATTGTTGAAAATAACATTAATTTCTAGGGGAGTCAAATTTTAACAATTGTAATTAGTATAATTGATGATGATGTTTCATAATTCTTTAACCCTGACTATAGAAACAAATTTGGGTTAATGAAAGACATTATTAAGTAGGTGATGTACGATTTAGGATAATTACTAAGTAAGGGACTGGAATGGTAAATGTCGTAAAAAGAAAGAGTTATCAGAATGAGCTCTTTCGTCTGCATCCAAAGGCTCTGCCTTTAATCAGAGCTTCGGTCACGGTTTCCTGAAATAATTACGATCACATAAACACAAACAAAAGCCCCAAAAAGCTCGAGAAAAGAGAACAACTATAGAGAGAGAAAAAAGCGAGATTAGTTTAGCAGCTTTGTTGCGGTGCAAAGAAGCAAATCTGACAGTTCGCAGTGACAAGAGAAGGCGCAAGGAATCGAAGATTTGGTGCTTCTTTCAGAGGAAGCAAAGTAAATGCTGCTATACCAATTTTAAACATTTTCCTTCACTTGAGGAGAGAGAGGGAAATTGGGAATGGAATCGATCTCATTTGGGTCTCTGCTCTTTTGATCTGTACGGGGAAATTAAGCTTCTTACTTGTTCTCAAGTTTCGGCCTTTGAGGACTTGGGTTTGATCCTTGAGGCCGAGATCTTTCTTTTTTCTGAAGAAGCTTCTTGTTAATTTTGGTAAGTTTCAAGCTTTTGCAAATGGGTTGGATTTGGCTAGCTCCAATTGCAGTTAGAGCAAGTAATTAAAGGATTGGAGTTAGGGTTTTTATTCTAGAACATGTTTAGTCTGTTACTGGATTTGTTGTTAATTTGTGAAAATATAGGGTCTTTAGGTCATGTTTCTGGGTTTTTGTGTTGAGATTTGACTTTCTGTCTTCGATTATCCCTTAGGAAAATGACTATTGCTTCTTTTCAGGTGGTTTAGTTTATAAGACCGTTGAGCTTCAGAGATATATGTTTGGATTCATAAGTGATCGCATAAGACGTTCCTATTGGCCAGAAGTGAATTGTGGTCTACCGGGGTAGCGTTTTGTTGTGTCTTCAGTAGTTAGGACAGTAGAGATGCCTCCTTCCCCGGCATTGAGATGCTCTCCTGGGAGGGAACTTCCTGGGAAGAAACACAGGCGAGGACACAGCATTGAATATGGGATACTATTTAGAGATAAAGACGATGATCTTGCCTTGTTTAGTGAGATGCAAGACAAAGAAAGAGATAGTTTCTTGCTTCAGTCATCTGATGATCTTGAAGATGTATTTTGTAAGTGTTTTTTATTACTGGCTGTGTTGTTTAGTGAGATGATTGGACTTAGAGAGATAGTTTCTTGCTTCAGTCATCTGACTGTCACATGATCCTTCTTAACCTTTTTCCTTCTATTTTGGACATTTATCTTCAGCTACAAAATTGAAGCACTTTTCGGAGTTTACCATTCCTGTTCAAGGAGAGAGTAGCAGATTGCTGACTGCAGAGGGAGATAAGAATGACTATGATTGGTACCTTTCATATATAACTTGGATTCTTTCTTATTTTCTTTCTGGTTCATTGTTACAACTAATCCGTATAATTATCTTTAAGCCCAATCGAGATTGAATTGAAATTGGATATCTTCCTTACTTTTAGTAATACTCAAAGACGTTTGCTTCCCCAGCTTCTGATTCCATAAACTTCTTGTTGGGATTACTGTAACTTTTTTTGTCAACAACTGTAGTAATCTGTGTTTTGCTCTTTTGGATGCCTATATTTTTCCTGTTGTTTCCTCTCGTGGTCTCACAAATCTTAATGGATTACCAATGAAAGGTTGCTGACGCCTCCAGACACACCACTTTTTCCTTCATTGGATGACCAACCGCCAGCAGCTAGTGTTGTGAGAAGAGGGAGACCACAGAGTCAGATTTCGTTATCTAGATCTTCCACGGTATCCATCTATACTAAATTGAATGTTATTCTATGTATAACACTGTTGATCTTGAATCAGATCTTGTTGCACTTTCTAATTTACTATGTGTATGTGTAGATGGAGAAGAGCCGCCGTAGTAGTAAGGGCAGTGCAAGCCCAAATCGCTTAAGCACATCGCCTCGAGCTGACAATATGCAGCAGATAAGGGGAAGGCCATCTTCAGCACGCCATCCTAGTCCAGCGTCTGGTCGACGATCAGGTACCCCAGTTAGGAGGATTTCTCCTACTCCAGGGAAACCCTCAGGACCTGTATCAAGATCTCCGACCCCAACTTCGCGAAGGATGAGCACTGGGTCAACTACCGTGGCATCGCCAGCTGTCAGGGGAACTTCTCCCGTCAGTTCTAGTCGAGGCAACTCTCCTTCACCCAAAATAAAAGTGTGGCAGTCAAACATTCCTGGTTTCTCCTTGGATGCGCCACCAAATCTCCGAACTTCTTTGGGTGATCGACCAGCATCCTATGTAAGAGGTTCCTCGCCAGCATCCAGAAATGGTAGGGATGCAGTCTCTACACGCAGCAGAAAATCTGTTTCTCCAAGCGCTTCCAGAAGTGTCAGTTCATCTCACAGTCATGAGCGTGATCGGTTTAGTTCTCATAGTAAAGGCTCTGTAGCATCATCTGGAGATGATGATCTTCATTCTTTACAGTCTATTCCTGTAGGTGGCTCAGAACGTGCAGTTTCAAAAAGAGCTAGCCTTTCTCCAAATAGTAGAACTTCTAGATCTTCGAAATTACTGTCACCTGGTTCAGCACCGAGAAGGCCGTTTGAGTCTGCTCTACGTCAAATGGTACATATTAAGCGGCATACCACTTCTTCTTTTTTTGTCCACGATTCTTGGACTTTTCATTACCTTCTAGAAGTACATGTTTTACTCTGCTTGCATCAACATGTTTGCACCCGTGGCTTAGTTTCTAACATATAACCTGCAGTCTATGAGAACACATCACAGAACATTGTTGTCAGTCTGTCATATCTACCACAAGAATAGATTGTCTCTAAGTTCCCATTTGTTTTCTGTTACATTCCTTAGATTCCAAAGTCTCTCCTGCATACATTCAATAGAAATTCTGGTAATTACCCCTTTTTGATTCTGCAGAGATATGTCTAACTTTATTTATGATCTACATCTATCATGCAGGATCATCCTAAAAGCCATCATAGCATGTTTAGGCCTCTTGCTTCTAGCCTTCCTAGTACAGGCATTTATTCTGGGAAAGGTAGTTCGTCTTACCATCACATTATGTTAAGACATTCTACGGCAACAGTGGGGAGCAATTCAAGTTCTGGCCAAGTTACAGGATTCATGCCAGATGCTAAAGGAAATGATCCAGTCCCTGTATTCCAATCTGAAGTTGAAAATTTGGCTTATCCTGATAAACATGGAGAAAGTACTGCCTTTAGCATGGTAAATTTATCAAATGAAAGTAGTAGACATGAGAGTCATGAGAGTTCTTTCAGTGATCAGCTTGGGGATATGGATCAAGGTTATGTTGTTGAATGCGAGTCTAGCGTGAATGAGGAGGCCAGTCACCATGTTTTTGATGTTGAAAGCAGTTCGACTCATGGTAGTCTTCATGTAGGCAATGAATTTTTAGAAGGGGTCGTTCTTGAAACTACGGAGGTTTGTGGTAGATGTGGTTCTCACTATCGTGCCACTGAAGAACCTAGAAGCGAGATAAATATTTGTCCAGAGTGCAGGGAGGAACACAGTTTCGTAGAAACAGAATCCCCTGGAACAATGAGAGCTCTTGATGAAAATTCCCCAAAGCAGTCTCAGGAAATTTTCGATGAAAACAGATCATATTTTGAAAACATTCCTGTGATAGATGTGCTAGATTCGCTGCCTGTTGTTATGGTTGAGGAAGAGATCATGGAGACACGAGAAAAGATTGAGCAGTGTGATAATTCCTACGAGCAAGAACAATATCATCTGCATGAGAGATCTATTTCCAGGGCTTTGGAAGAGCAAAATGTGGATACGCTCCGTTACCAGGATGGAACTCAGTCTTCCACTGGCTGTGGTCCTTTAAGTATAGGCACAAAAGATACTCAAACTCAGCTTTCTGATAAGCATTATGATGTGAAGATTGGTTCTTCAGGACTTGGAGACATTCCTTTGCTTATAAAGAGATCGGTCAGTATGAAGTCACCTGTTATTCAAGCTAATAACTCCAGTTGTTTCACCAGATCATATGAGGGCTTTTCTTATTCAAGGGATAGAAGTATTAGTCTTAGAAGCTCCACGGAAACTGCTTCTGCATCTTCATCTTGGGATTATGGTTCTTCTATAAGAAAGGGAATCCATATACGACAACGAAGCGGGAGTACACTTGACTTGGAGACTCATAGGTATGATACCAACTCCAAGTCTCTGAGCTCCATGTCATCTTCATCTGGCATGTCAAGCCACGCTTTGCAGGCTCTAAATGTCATGCCAGAGGACAGTTTTGAAGTGTGTGCTGCCCAAATGGCATGTACACACGATGAAACTCAGCAAGAATTTCACACTGAACTTCAAGATTCGGAGTATAAAGAAACCAATGTGATGAGTGCTGATTTCAGTGAAGTTGGTATTTCCGCCGATGTAGTTGGTAATCCTGCAGAGCATAATCCGGTGGTAATTGACGATGAATTTTGTGAAAATGGAGATGATGTAGCCAATACTGTGATAAGCAAGGGGGAGACTAGAGAATCACCAGCACATGTAAGGAGCATGTCAGATTTAGGAGCATCACCTATCACTGATGACTGCCCTTTAAATGACCACTCTAGGCTACAAGAAAATGATGGTAATGAAACTCCTAATGGTTTATCCACCACGACAGCCTCAGAAATAGAACCTGAGAGTTGTGAACCCGAAACACCTGGTTTAGGGGTTCATGATGAAATTCCAGAGTCAGAGTGCAACCTAAATGCAGTGGATAACTGCTCAGAAAAGAGTATGGTGCATGCTTCTGTGGATCACCACAACTCCTTGGCTCCTGTAAATGAAATTTTAGGTATTTACTCGCTTTCTCATCTGATACTGGCATCTCACTGTGCTTTTACTGTTGTTTTTTTCTTTTTCTTACAACCTTGTGAAGTTTAGACATGGTTTCTTGCTCTCTGCAGATGAGTCCACTGTACTTGTGGAGTGTCCCGGTGGAAAAGAGCCGAGGAGCCTCACGCTTGAAGAAGCCACTGATACAATACTTTTCTGCAGCTCCATTGTTCATGATTTAGTTTACCAGGCTGCAACAATAGCAATGGATAAAGCAAAGGATGTGCCAGTGGAAGAAGAAATGTTACATCCAACGGTGACAGTACTTGGAAAGTCAAATGCAAACAGAAATAGTTATGGACTTGGCGGCGGAACAAAGGCGAAGAAAAAGAGTTCCAAATCTGCAAAAGCAAGTCGAAAGCAAACAGAAACAGAGGAGAAAACAGAAGTGGAAATAGAGAATGATGAAAATGCAGGTGAAGCAGTGATGATACGTAACGTTGGAGTTCCTCCTAGTAAAGGAGAGAACTTGAAACCTCCTCCTAAGCTGGAATCCAAATGCAATTGCTCAATAATGTGATATGACCCACTCTTTGATCATTTTTTTTGTATTACTAGTAAATTTTTATGTTGTTTGTTCATAAAGTTGGTGCTTGTTCATTTTTTGTTGTTGTGTTTTGGGTTTTCTTTGTTTTTCTTTTTAATATTAAGATTTAGCGTATTTACGTTTGTTGCAGCTAATTTGTGAGGATACACACGATTTGGGTTGCCGTTTAGTGGCATGAATTGTAAAGTTATTGTTTTGATTTGATTATTATCTTTTTATGTGTACCAATAAACTTTATGTACTCAATTTGTTGCTTCATATGAATCTATTCGTTTATCTAACAAATGAATTCTTCAATTGTTAGTTTGCATATACACATTTATTTTTCACCAAAAAAAAACAAACAAAAATCATGCCTGCTGCCTAAATGACATGTACACACGATGAAACTTACCCTGAACACCAAGATTCAGAATGTAAAGAAACCAATGTGATGAATGCTGTTTATCTGATCAACATCTTCAAATGGATCTTGTCATTAGGCAGATATAGCCATGGCTAAACACCTAGCGGCCTAAGCGAGATTGTAAAATAGAGAACATCAAACCTTCCTTTTAGAAACGTTGCATTCGATGTACTCAACAATTTGTTTTGGTGAATATAATTTAACATTCATTCAAAAAAAAATCAATTGTCTTAACCTGGGAATTCGCTTTTTAAATATTTTTTAATAACTTTCTTAATTCCACTTTGTTTACTTTTGAATTTGTTAGTCTTTTGTTTATTGCTTTCTTTTGGTTTGTTAGATTGTTATTGTATTGTTAGTAAAATTTTTTAAAAAAAACCCAAATCATCTTATTAGTTTAGACTTTAGATTAAGCATTTGTGTGCATGAAAACTAATATTTCGGATAAATTAATGGTAAATAAGTGTTATAAGAAAAAATCACATACATGTGAACTAAAAACAATATTTATAGAATAGAAAGAAGTGGCGGGAAAACGAGAAAGAGCGGCTTGCACCTTAAAAAACCCAAAATCTCAATTTCTCACAAATGAATGATTCCGTAAAGGTAAAATTGTCCCATGGATTCCGATTCAGACTCCGATGGTTCTCATGTCTCCGCCACTCCTCCCCGAGACTCATTTCCGCCATCGCCGCCGCCACTTCTTCAGTCACCGCCTAAGCATGTGCCGCCGGTCTCCCGGAAAATTACGTCTTCTTCTTCTCGCTCGAAGCCCAAAGCACCTATACAGCCGCCTCCCAATCCCTCACAGGAAGCTCCACTACCGTCTTCCTCTCCTCCTCCTCCATCTCCATTATTCACCAATCTCCCTTTCCGGATCTGCGAATCCCAACCCGCTAGGTTTTCTTCTTCCGTATCGTCCTTTTCCAGACTCCACAGCAGAGCTTCTTTTACATCTGATGAGAAATTGAAATCAGACGGCGTCGATTTTGTGCCGGAGCCGCCTCAGGTAGAAGTAATCGCTCCTCCAAAATCCGTTAGGAGAAAGCCTCCGAATCTCATCACCGATACTATAACTTCTCCTCCGGTGAAACCTATGGTGTTTCGTAGCAGCGGTAACGGCGAGGGTAACTTCGTGAAGTTGAACTTAAATGGCAAGAGAGGGAAGAAGTTTCCCAGCAAATACAAGGGCGTCTCTAAATCTAGAAGCAATTACGCATTCAGAGGGAAGAGATACAAGAAGAAAGAAGCTGATGGTGATGGCGAATCATTGTTGGAGGAAGAGTCTGATTTGCAGAAACAGGTAGAAGAAGAAGCTAATGGTTTTATTAGCTCAGTGGAGGATGCGATTCTTGCTGTGAAGACTGAGCCTTCTGATGAGAATCTGACGAAGCTGTTGAATTTAGTGTATGGTTATGATTCTTTTCGAGATGGGCAGTTGCAGGCGATCAAGATGATTCTTGGTGGGAGTTCAACGATGCTGGTATTGCCTACCGGTGCTGGTAAGTCTCTCTGTTACCAGATTCCGGCAATGATTCTTCCGGGGATCACGCTTGTAGTGAGTCCTTTGGTTTCGTTGATGATCGATCAGTTGAAGCATTTGCCTTCAATTATTAAGGGTGGTCTCTTGAGCAGTAGCCAGGTGTGTGCCACAAATTGTTGTTTGTTGCCGGTTCTTTATTTTTGGAGTCGTTTTGTAGTCTTTAGAAGTTTCTAATGGAGTCTGATTTGGGAGTTTTTTTCATTAGAGACCTGAGGAAGCAACAGAGACGTTGCGGAAACTTAGAGAAGGCATAATTAAGGTGTGTCACGGGATAAGGCTATGAAAGTATTTAATTTGGAAATACATTCATTTGTGTCATGGGTTTGTTGTTTAATTTCAGGTTCTCTTTGTATCTCCCGAGAGACTTCTGAATGTAGAATTTCTGTCGATGTTTCGCATGTCTTTATCTGTGTCACTTGTTGTTGTGGATGAGGCACACTGCGTATCAGAATGGTGAGCTTCTTGGCAACTGGTAGATTGCGTTTCTCTGTGTATCTACTGCTTTTCCTTGTTCTGTTTTTCTTGGTTATTAAGAGCTATTCTAAACAGGTCTCATAATTTCCGTCCTTCATATATGAGACTCAAGGCATCAATGCTGTTTTCTGAACTCAAGGCAGAATGCATTCTCGCGATGACTGCAACTGCCACTACAATGACTCTTCAGGCTGTCATGTCTGCACTAGAGATACCGTCAACCAATCTTATCCAGAAGTCACAACTGAGAGATAATTTTGAGTTGTCTGTCTCATTGAGTGGAGCTAACAGGCAAGTGATTTGTTTATACTTTCACCCGCTTGCTCCTCCTCTAGTTGTAACTGACTGAAATCTGAAATCTAACAGAATGAAAGATCTATTGATTTTGATGGAGTCTCATCCATATAAGGAGATTCGAAGCATCATTGTGTACTGCAAATTTCAGGTGAGAGTACTTAATTATCTGCAGCTTTTTCTCACGCTTTACAAAATACTTTTTTTTATTTCTTACTGTATCATGCATGATGCTAACTTAAGCAACTTTGGGCTGTTTTGCGCAGTATGAGACTGACATGATAAGCAAGTATTTACGTGATAACAACATCAATGCAAAGGTTGTTTCCATTTTGAAATCTCCGACATACCTGTATCTATAGCTAATTAGACTCTAATCAAGCTTAACTTGATCTATCCAGGGTTATCACAGTGGTCTTCCTGCGAAGGACCGTGTTCGCATACAAGAGTCATTTTGTTCCAACAAGATTAGAGTGGTGAGAAAACAAGTTCACTGATTTTCCATACGCTTTGTGTCCAATTTACCCATGCAATCTATCACTGAAAGTTAAGCAGATGTCAGTATTCAAATATTTTATTTGTGTTATGGAAGGTTGTTGCAACTGTGGCATTCGGCATGGGACTTGACAAGGGAGATGTTGGAGCTGTAAGTCTAACGCAAACCTTTAGAATGCTTGAACATATCTTTATCTATTCACATCTCATGTAATAATATACATGCTTCTAAATTTTCTGTGTCTGCTTTAGGTAATCCACTTCAGCGTGCCAGGCAGTATGGAAGAATACGTTCAGGTTCAAACTTTTTTTTGTTTTTCCTTTTTAAGCTTAGTGATCAGTGTGGATATAACGTTTTCGAGAAACTAAATGTATATGTTACAGGAAATTGGGCGTGCTGGTCGCGACGGGAGGTTGTCTTATTGTCATCTCTTTTATGATAATGACACATATCTAAAGCTTCGGAGCCTTGCACACAGGTAATTCGTGCGGGAACTATCATCTGTCATGGAGTTGAATAAGAGGATCTTACCTTTGTTTTTCCCCTTCTTGTTCAGTGATGGTGTCGATGAATATGCAGTTGGAAAATTTCTCACCCATGTGTTTTCCACTGAGACAAAGCAACATGAGAAGATATGCTCGCTAGTCATTGAATCTGCCTCTCAAAAATTTGATATGAAGGAAGAGGTATTTTTAAAAAACTTAATTTCACTTCTTGAAACCCATTGTTCTTACGTTTATATGATCAAGTGTCTGATCTTGTGAGATAATGGGCGGGAAAAAAAGCGTTTTTATCGAGAATATTCTGATGTTTCACTGTGGATCTGGCAGGTTATGCAAACGATTTTGACACATTTGGAGCTGGGGGAAGTGCAGTACCTACGTATGCTTCCACAACTCAATATATGTTGCACTTTGAATTTCCACAAGGTAGGGATTAGGGAAGCTGTTAGCTGAATATTTTCCTGTTTAGTGACAAAGTCCAATATTTTTCTAATGGTGTATGCTTGAGACTTCTGATGCTCAGAACATTGTTATGCTACATGTGCAGTCTTCTCCAAACACTCTGGCTGCACGAAATACCATAGTTGCAGCAATTCTGAAGAAGTAAGTGTCTATTCATATACTTCAGCTTTTCTGGTCAAGTGATTCTGTAGAAGTATGAAAGTTGCAGCAATGCTCAAGAATTTTCTGTTGTTTTTAGGTCTCACGTGAAGCAAGGGTTACATGTCTTCGATATACCCGCTGTGGCCTCTAGCATATGTGTTGCAACAACAGATGTCTTGGCTGAGATTCAAACTCTGAAGGTTGATAACACTTCTCTCTCCAATATGAATCCGTGGCTTAGTACCAGATATGTCAAGTTTCATTTCATCTTAATAAGCATATTTATCTAAATAAGGAATCCATGATTGAATTTGCACGCATTAAAAGTGAAGAAGAAACTTAAGTCCACAGAACAGAACTGATAGACACATAAATTACCCTTAGGAATATAACTCTGGTACAATATAGATGATATACTTAAATAGTATCGTTTTATGATAAAGTTTGATTCTATATTTCTATGGACTATTGATGTAGGCTTTACTGAGAAAATACAACTGTACTGAGGGAAATGTATATAAGAGTGAATCATGTGTCATCTATTTATTTAATTGCTTGTGTTCTGTTAAGAACTCTTTCGTGTGTGTTCCACTTGAACCCTAATTATCTTCCTGATTTCTAATTAACGATGTTGAGTACTTGATCTTGAGGTTTGATTTTCTAGCGCTGTTAAGATCTTGTTCGTTGATATGTCCTTAAAATCATTGTAGATGAAGGGGGAAGTAACATACGAATTGAAGGACCCAGCCTTTTGTTACACAATCTTAAAATCTCCAAGGGAAATATGTTCATTGTCCAGTCATCTTACCAAGTGGCTCACAGAGATTGAAAGTTGCAAAGTAAGTTCTTCAACTGCAGCTAACAGCTCCTCACCCTTTCATGGTCTATCTTAATTTAAGTTACAACGCTTGTGCTTATATTTAGCGATAATTTTTGCATTTGATATAGGTGAGAAAACTGGATATTATGTCTAGTGCAGCTGTGGCTGCGATTAGTGTCTCTGACACTTCAGAACTGAGTTCTAGTGCCAAGCAAACTCTGAGCCTGCAAAGTAGAATTTTTGATTACTTCAATGGTGACGAAAAGTGTGACACTCCGAGCAAGACGACTCAAAATTGGTACTAAAATTATTTCACATAGATTCCAAATTTCGATTAGTGCATAGCGAAAAAGGAAATGAGAAACCAGTGTTGTTACATATTTTTTGTTTGTCAAAGTCATCTTTCCATTATATTGATCGACACTTATATTATTGTGGATGCAGTGCCTTTCTACGAGCAGACATAAAGGTGAAGATCCAAGAAGCCACATTGTTGTTTATAATTTGTTTGTTTTGCCATGTATCCAAAGAATGTTAAGTTAAATGTTGTGCGGCAAAAACAGGTTTTTTTGCAGAGTAATCGCCAAGCCAAATTCACACCAAGAGCCATCGCGAGAATAATGCATGGAGTTGGAAGTCCAGCTTTTCCAAATTCAGTCTGGTCCAAGACTCATTTCTGGTATAGTCATCATCATTATCTAAACCAAGCCATGCAAGTTATTGTTTGATGATGGTTTATGTAATTTTATTGAAATCTGGCTTTGCAGGGGAAGGTATATGAGCGTAGAGTTCCGTGTGATAATGGATGCGGCACAAACAGAGCTGTTCAATTTTGTTGACAGAAATGCAGCTTTAGCTACATAGAAGGCTTTATCAAGTTGGACAATGAAACATCTCTACACACAGCTACTTGACTTAATAAGTGAGTCACAATGAATCACAGTTGATTCCAAGACAAATATGTAACATGAGAGAACTAAAAGCTTTGAGTAGATTCTGATTGTACTAGAATATTTATACTAGAACATTCAATATATTAGTGTGTAATTCTAACTATAGATTCATTAAAGTATTTAGTAAAGAGAAATTGTATTATAACAAGACAGTTGAGAGAATTGTTTGGATCGACAAGAAAAGCTGAAAAATATGAAAGTTAGTCTTAAGTATTAAAAGAAAGATGTGATAAAACAAGAATGAATACATAATAGCAGCAAGTCATGTTAAACATTGAGGGATCATCATATCATACATAGTTCATTCCTCGGACAGGCATCCCATAGTAACCACCACCAAAATACGGGTTCGGGTGAGCAGCAAACATCACCGGTCTCGGTATTGGTGGCGGCTGTGGGAGATAGCATGTAGTCATCAGAAGGTCTTGTTGGTATAGCTGGTATAGCAGATCATCAGGTCTTAGAATCAGCTTTCTATTGTGCAAATCTAAAGTCATCAGAAGGTCTTGTTGATATTGCAGATCATCAGCTCTTAGACTCTGGTTTCTCTTGCACAATTCGAAAGTCAACTTGGTGAAGACACGAGCCGTTAATTCACTGTCTGAGCCAGCGTGATGAGCCATTCCAACACGCCTCATCTGAAACGCATCTGCTATTCTCTGCAGTCCGAAACGGCTACTTAGTCCTCTGCATGATCCAGCCATTTTCTTCACATCATAAACACGTTCTCCCAAAAGCCTCTCAACCGTTTCGTCAAACTCTTCCAAAGTCTCCGGCAATGGTTTTCCTCCGGTTAAGCCTTTCACTAGATAAGCCTTGTCGTACGAGCCTTCAAAAGTCACCCAAGTCATCTCCTTCTCCTTGAGAATCATCTGAGTAAACTCCTTGAAGAATTCTTCGATTCCAATTCCTTCCTCTCTGATCTTTTCCAGATCTAGACCATTACTTTTCAGAAACGCGATAGATTTCTCATTCTTCAAGTCCTTCCACTCGTTGAAATCTGAGAAGTTTATTTCCCAAGTTTTAGAAAATTCTCCAGCGAATAAGGTGAGACCTAACTGGATGAGATGGGTGTTTTCCACGTTATACTTCATGCTTCTGTAACGAGTTTCCTCACTAGCTTCCATGGGAGTCTCTTTTAAACATCCCGGAAACTCTGTATCTATAGCGATGAAACTACAATGTTTCAAACAATCGCTCATCGCATTCATCTCTGCTTCCTTATTCCATCTCCAAACTTCACAACAACTACTTTGCTTCATCTCTCTGATTTTGTAGAAAACGAAAAAACAAACGATTGATTGTTCGAGAGAAAGAAAGTGTTTGTTTTTTCTGAAAGAGAAAAGCGAGAATAATAAACAGTGGAACCTGAATTGTGTTTGGTTAGGGTTTTATTAGATTATATAGACAAGACTTTGATGATGATAGTTGAATCAATTTCCTTTTTTTTTTAGGACACAACAAAGTTTCCAATTTTTTTCCAGTCAAAAAGTTCGTGTTGACTTTTTGACTCCTAATTCTTGTTGAACACGAGTTTTCCATTTTATTTCTCAAAAGCCCAAAAAAAAAGCCTGTTTCCGAAGCTGTTTACAATTTTAAAACCAGACCGAATTAAATTCTTATTTCAAATCAAAGTCTGACTCAAATCATATTTAAAAATTGTAATTGATTGAGCAAATTTAATAAAATAAAAAATCAAAATCAAACATGCAAGAAACCGTACAAAATTGATAGAACATACACTAAACATGCAAGATTTGATTTGATTTGATATTCAAAATTGTTTCGAATAACAAATTTCTACAGAAAGCTTTTCTTTTCTATTCTATTCTGTTATGGGAAAAATAAAGAGATTGGGCTAGTTGAATTTTGTATTTATGTTTGAGACATCAAATTTATTTCTGTCCTTTACGAGCAAGAAACCGTTCTCTGGCTGCTTCAATCCGACTCTCGACATTTTCAGAAACTGCAGGTGTTTCTGGATCGTTCTTAGACAACTCCGTCTTCTCTTCAGGTTTCTTGAAAGAGGGAGCCGGTCCACCGCTACATGGCAGATTAGACGATACCGATCAATTACTGAATCCAGACCAGAAGGAGAAAGCTGGAACGAACAAGACCGGATTGAAGTAGTAAAGAGTAATGTTTGTTTTTACCTCAGTTTTCTGACATTTAATTTCTCGATCTTTCTTTTGATGGGAGCCACCCATGACATGTCTACTGCACAAACGTTCCGCATGAACGGACGTGTGGTGGAAATCAGCTCATGGTACACTACGTAATTAGGCAACATTCCGTCGTTGTCGGCACTCAACACAGATGATGGATGCACCTAGAATCAACCAAAAACGTCAACATGTGGATGATCGTACGAAATTGGAAATGCTTCCCCATCCTCACTTAGTATCTGAGCTAATGATGTAATAGAAAATCTAACACTGTAACAGATAAAGGAGACTTGGATTGACAAGTAATACCTGGACTAGCTGGGACTGGAAACTAAGAGTCCGGTATCCATTGTGACGAAGCATTCTCTCAGCAATTTGGTTTGCATTACCAACGCATAGAGCTTTCCTCAACTTCCTGTAGTCGTCTCGGCTTGAACTCTTCCTACCATGTGCCCCAACTTCCAATCGATCTAGTTTGTCAAGGAGACCAATTATTTTAGTGACGGTTGGTTAGATATGATACAGCCAACTATCACATGTCACAAAAAAAAAAGAGAGATGTTGACATAAACTCTGGTTACGTTGGAGGCATAACCATTTAGGGGTGAAAGCCATAGAGTAATATTAAATATTTTTTCATGAAATCTTGTTGTCATGAAACAATACTAACCTTTGGATATTTTCTGCATAATCTGACATAACTGTCTTCTAACATCTTTGACAAAGACCATCCCTCGCACCTGCAAATTATTTTTCAACAAAAGTTATCTTTCTTCCTATTGGCATAAGGAACCCACGTAATAATGTACCGAAATAGACTATCTAACAAAGGTAGTAAATTTCAGTAACTCCAATAATTGATAGGTATAAATAAAACCGTATGAAGAAGAAATTACAAACATGAACTCCCATCGGAGTCACGTCTCAACAATGAAGGGATTTTATATGCTATATAGATTGTAACTGCAGAGAACAGCATATAATTGACCACCTTCTGAAGTATAGCATTTGGTAACAATGCAGCAAGGCTTTTCATGTCACCATGCTTTTGAAGTGGAATACTCGAAAATAGATAAGAAAGGAAGGAAGAAAATGGAACAATTACCTGCATGCCGTTCTCTTTGCACCATGCAGGATCATAATTAGTACGGTCCCAAGATTCGAAAATCTGTAGCAGTTGAATGTGATCACCAAACCCGGATCCATTAGGAAGGTTAGAATCATCATCATGCTTCCTCTTCTTTTCACTGGGTTTACTATAATGCAAGCAAAAACCACAAAAACAAGAGTTGACGCATCTGTATCTAGTCAATGTGATTTTAAACATTTCATAATCTGACTCAGGTAATTGTATATCGTAAAAACTAACCTCCTAGCAGGAAGAAGAGTAGTCTCTGCTGATAGCATAGCAACGACTGTTAGAGCTTGAGATAAGCAACCGTTTTCATTCGCTTCTATCAATGTTCTTGACAATGATGGTTCTAGTGGAAGCTCTGTTGAACCGCAAATATGGTCAGTATGAGATAACAGCTCAAACTCGAAAAAAATTAACAGTGGAAAAACTGCGCTAAAACATACCAGACATTGTCCGTCCAATTCTTGTTATTGCTCCATTCTCATCAATTGCATCAATGAAATACAATTGCTTCAACGCATCTTCTAATGACTCAGCTGAATATTATATGTAGGACGAAAACCAAATAAATATAATATCACTGGAAAATTCAAAAATTTCACAAACAAAAAAAGAAAACAGCAGTTTGTGCATGACAAACCATCAATCCATTGATTTTGTAGAAAGCTTTATAAGAGGCATCAAACTCCAGATAGAAATAAGTTCTTACATGATGGAGCATCAAGAAAATCAAACTTGAGAATGTCAATATCAGGAAGATCCAACGATTTCAAGTATAGAACACTCCCAGCAAGAGAAGTTCGTTGTATTTCAGGAATAGTTGCATCAAGGAAGTCATCTCGGTAGACTGCCAATGGGTATAAACGATAACATTTCCCAGGTCTTGTTCTGCCAGCACGTCCAGCACGTTGGTTAGCTTGCACTCTGGAAAACCAAAGTGAAACAGATAAAAATTTAAAGTACAATTAGCAAATAGGAGCTTGATGAAAACCTGAGTAAGAAACCACTAGGATTCCTGAGTAAAAAATGTTATATCTGAATTTTGATGAGGTCTTATTGAACCACTATAGTTACTTTTTGAGCCAATTGCAGATATCATTTCTAGGTAAGGCTATAAATATCATCCCACATCAACTACAAGTTCATCATATGCACGAATAGATCAATACAAGGTTCATATTTAGCAAACAATTTAATGAAATGAAATTAATGAATGAAGGTATCGAGAAACAAGACTCATTTGCTTACTTGCTAATTTGAATAACATCAAGAGAATACATTCCACTTGATGGGTTATATTGTCTTTGCTTCACATACCCGGAATCAATTACATACCTGTCAGAGAAAAACAGGCTAGGCTGAGAATGCTATCGATCTCCAAATTTTCAAAATATTTATCTGAAACTTGCTTAAAATGCAGACATGATACACAAGAAGACAGCTTTGGCAACGGTGACAGGACTATCAGAACAATCAAGCAGATTAAAGAATGCAGGGTACAAAATTTTCTCATACTAAATTCAGTTTTGATCGCTTGAAACAGAGACAGCACAAACTATTCATGTAGAATTAAATGTCTCAATCGTCTGTTTCAAGTCAAATTCCAAATATAGTTCTCATAGACGTGGTTATGAACAACATGTACTGAAATGTGAAGTGAATTAAAAGGAGCGAGGAATATAAAAAACAATGTTAAGCCGGCATCGAATATCTGATTGATCCCATTACTGGACCTAAATACACTATTGCAGTCTTCATGATTACTATTGAATGAAATATTACTCTCTTAAAAGGACCTGACTTAACACTGTCGTGTAGAAAGTATTCATATGTATGCAGTAAATAATGGACATACGGAGTATACAGTAGATACCAGAGATGAAAACCAAAAATAAGATTATAAACTTTAGGTTTAAAGTTTCTTACACAACCCCGTCCACAGTAAGGGAAGTTTCAGCAATATTTGTAGCAACAATAAATCTCCGGCAGTTTGGAGGAGGAGGACTAAATACACGAACCTGCAGAAATGGTGAAAGTCAAGACAAATTACCAAAACTTTTTAGACCACCAAGATCTCAATTTCCCAGGAACAAAATTCAGAAATGGACATTGAGCCCAATTTTTTGTACCGAGATTCTAGAAATTGTTACCTGCATTTCAGGTGGCAAAGAACCGTGAAGAGGATAGATAATAGCATCCATACAGGATCCTTCTGCTAAGCTTCGTACTTTTTCCTCTAGCTTTGATACTAATTTTTCTATATCATCCTATTAAAACCAAGATAGAGTAAGACAGGACGCAACAATCTAGATAGTTCTGCCAGATTTCAATGAATAGAGTTGAAACAAATGATACACACCTGTCCAGTCATGAAGATTAAGATATCACCTTCTGGCTCACAAACATGAATATCTACAAGTAACAACAAGGTTTTTGTAATGTAACAGGGAAAATAGTGTAAACAATGAAACAAGGAAGATTAACCAAATCAAATTGAATTGACAACAGAAACACTCGACCTTGAACATACCAATTGCTACTTTCAGAGATGACTCAATATAGCTGACAGGACGCTCTTTGCTGTATAATATTTCCACAGGGTATAATTTTCCAGGTACATTCAGCACAGGGCAGCCCGAAAAGAATTCAGAAACCTTTTCACCGTCAAGAGTTGCAGAGGTTATAAGAACTTTAAAGTTGGATGCACGGATTCTAACCAACCGTTTCACTAGACCCAACAGAATATCCCTGATAACAATAGACCAAGTTAAGATATATTCTAGAGCCTTTGTGCATGTTTGAATGAGATCTTAATGCCATACGAAACAATGTTACAATAAAAGGTACTGAGCAAACCGAGATAAAATCTGAATATAGAAAAGTCCTTACGTGTTTAAACTCCTCTCGTGAGCCTCATCCAATATGATTACAGAATAATCATCAAGCATTGGATTGGACAGACTCTCACGAAGTAGAACTCCATCTGTGAGGTACCTGGAGCCATAAACAATCCAACAATGAGGAAACCAAAATGAATCATGTGAAATATTGATTAACACTAAACATTTATACATCGTCCATTACTTAATCCGTGTTTTGCTCGAAGTTCTGTCCTCGAAACGTATTGCATAACCAACATCTTCTCCAAGAGGTACATCAAGCTCCTGTGCGACTCGCCTGAAAACCAAATCCCAAAAAGACGGCTTAAATCAATTCTGACATCTTACCGGAATCAACAAAGACGCAAGATGAGGAATCATGATTAAACGAACGGAAAATAACCTAGCAACGGAAACGGCAGCCACACGTCGGGGCTGAGTGATGGCGATGACGCCGGACTTTGTGTAACCATGTCGATGAAGTATCTGAGAGAGCTGAGTACTCTTCCCAGAACCGGTTTCTCCAATTATAACTACTACTGAGTTCTTCTCCACTGTTTCCACGATCTTCTCTTCAAATTGAAGAATCGGAAGATTCGCCATATCGCAGAGAAACATTCAAAATCCTATCAAGTTCAGCAATCGACAAAAGGAAACTATAACTGCAATTTCTGCTTAGCTTCAGTCTAAAATCTCTCTACGACGAAATTCATTCTCCGACGAACGACGCGATAGCTTCACAGTAGACCGGAACCCTAATCGCTCACCGGCACTTCGAGAAATCTCAAATCAATAGAATTTTCCTAAGCCGTTTCCGTTCAAAATCTCTCTCTGTATTTTATGAAAATGAAAAAAATGAAAAATAGAGCGAGAAAGATCAAAGAAGTCCACAGGCGTACTTAAGACCCTCTCTTTCGCTCAGCGAGTCTTATTCTTATCTTTTATCAATTTCGTATCTCGTCCTTTAATATATAACAAATTTGTTTTAAGCGTACAAACATTTCTCATCAATGTTATAAAACCTACATACAGTACACTGTAATTTGTATAACCAGAACCCAAAAATCCTTGGATATAAACTACATACCTATACAAGCAGCTTTCTTTTTACCTCCAAGACTTTCAAAAAGAGATATTAAGTCTTGAGATGGGAAAAACAAATTACAACTTTACACCGACTAAAGGTAAAAACCAGACTCAACACTGGTAAACTGAGAAGCTCTTGCTTTTCCATAGAAAACTGAATGCTCTTCCCATTTTCTTTCTCGAGGCTGATTTACATTGCGGTTTTGACTCTGTTACAGCGGCTGCAGCAACAGAGAATCCGTCCTCGGGGCTTGTGACTTCTGTATGCTGCGGTTCTGTTAGATGGGTTTGATCCCTTTGCCTCAGTTCCCTGAATAGCGTCAGTAGCTTCTGTGCCCTTTCTCTTCCACGTTGAGTACCGTTTACGGAAATAGATACCAACGAAGGTATACTCCTTCTTGTAAAACCATCTGGCTACATATCTCACTGTGATTGCATAATATCAGAAGCAAAGAAACAGCTTGTTCTTGCTCATTTGGTTCACCCGTGTCAAGAATGGTGCAGAGATTGCTCACAAGGCCAGGTGTACTGAAACCATCTCGTCTTTTCCTGCCTCGTTCAAAACCAAATTTAGTAGAACAGCTAAGGACTTTTCTGTCCATCGTTGATCATCACTGATAGTGAGTGATTGAAGGGCGTTGACAATGTCAGCAGATAGAAGGCAGGGGATATTGGGAGGGTAGGTGGACAGGTGAAAAAGGGAGTGAAGGGCATCGACTTTGCACTGGACTTCTGTCTCGGTCCAAAGAAGATTTACCATGAAAGGAACTGCCAGACTCGAACCTATTACGGGCTTTGCTTCTTCAAGACACGAAAGGTTCAGATAAAGTGCCGTCACTGAACCATGGGAATGTGGATTACAGAGCATTTCCTCCAGCAGAGGAATAATTCCTGATGCTAGCATCAACTCCTTGTTCCTGAAATTTCCAAAAAACAATAAGACCAGAAATGAGATTTTCGAGTTTACAAGACAAGATAGGAATAACTTTTATATTGTCGCTGAAATCTTAGCCCATGATTACAAAACAAATTTGGCAGTACTAGGCAACTGAATGTGTTACTAGACTAATTTAACTTATGGGCTTGATCGTTGAGAGAAAGAAACGAGACATCATTTGCTCACATACCTGTTGCTGTCCACAGCCAAGTTAAAGAGAGCCATCGCTCCAACTTTCTGGGCTGAAGCGTTATTTTCAGTCAGAGCTGATCCTAGAAACTGAAGCAACGCTTCAACACACCCATTTTCCCCCATGAGAATCCTGGCCTCCTCATCATCTTTTAGCAATACTCTTATCTGCTCAACAACTCTGCATTTCTTCCTTAAGGTATCCACTTCACTTAAAGTGGTCAACAATTCAGTACATCTTCAACAAGAGTAACTTGATCATCCTGGTATTCTGATTCACAGGCTTCCTCTTTAATGGTTCCACTTTCTTCCAAAGGAACCACCTTCACATCCTTCAACTTACAAGAACCAACACGTTTTGCTGTTCTCGTGTCGGTGGACTCAGACACAGACAACGCCAACCTCCAATAGTTAAGGTCTAGAGACTCAGGGGGCCCATCAGGGAGCCTGAACGCCGTTCTGTTCACACCAGCTAGAAATTAGAGCCTTGACACAATAGTTAGGAGTCAAGCATAGATGAGAAAGCTGCTGGTGAGTTTTGGGACATGTGTTGTGTCCATCACTAAACCATTTCTCAATACAGATTCTTTCATAAGTTTGCCCAGACGCGATAATTACAGGGTCGTACATAAGCTGCAAAGATATTGGACACCTCAATTCTTCTGGCGGAACAGACATCTGCAAAGATTTCCTATTGTTATTGCAAGATCTGAAGTTGAAGGAACTCAGTTTTGACAGCTGACGGTCAAAAGCACGACCATGGGCATCATCAAGAGAACCCTGGATAGTAGGTGAACAAGGCAATGAACTACTACCCTGTGAATCATTGTCATCCCAAATCTCACTTCTGAATAGCTTTGAGTATTTCCTCATAAGATGTAACAAATAAGCCACTATTGATTCTTTCCTCTTGTCATCCTCCATTCGGGCCCTCTCAATGAGTTTCTTGAGGCATCTTCGCTCTGTGAGAGCTGCTCTAGAAGAAGTGATACCTAGTCTAGTAGCAGCCTGATGGAAAACCTCAAGTTCATTATTATCAGTTGAGCTCTCAAAATTACCCCCTTGTTGCAGCAATCCAATGATTTGATCCCCAATTTCCTTCTCTGATGGATCAAGTGAAAACTCGGTGTTCTCTAACTCCATCAAAATCTCCAAAAGCTGCAAAGTAGGATATACATGTTTAAATAAAAGCACTGAACTCTACAGATATCGCTTCTCTGCTTTAACTTTCCCTCCACTTGCCGTTAGAGAAGAAACCAAGATTACATGTTTAAATAAAAGCACCAAGATACGGGAACACGAAGAACTAACTACCTGAGATCCAATAGACTGTTGGACTATATCTTCGACACGCTAAGGCTATCTATAAGAGATGATTTCGCCTTCTCAAATTTCAAAACTACTGAATCCCCTGTTATAGCCTACATGTCAAACGAGCCAGCTGGTTAGTGAGAGTATCTCCAGAAGAAGCACATGATTCGTTCTGAATTTTTAAGACATAAATAAGTAAAGAAAGCTTACCAAATAAAGTTTACTAGATTCAGTGCAATGGCGTAGAATGTTCTTCACTTTTTCTAAAACCACGTGAAGTGAACACAAAGCTTGAATTCCAGATTTGCTTCTCGGCCGAGCAGCTTCAAGCGACGGGAAAATAGACATGATCTTGCAGTAGATCACTGAAAGAGCATTGCACATTTCTCCGTGTAGCTGAAACAGGAATATGTTAGCCAATGCCTTACACTTACAGCCATAAGTACGACGTATTACAAACCACACAATTTTTTGTATATCACAGGTTTTATCGAACAAAATCAAGAACCAGAAGCACAGCTTGAGGTTATTAATTAAAACAAAGACGGATACAGAAGGACATCTAGATACAGGATCAAGAATGTAATGTCTTAGGGAGAGAGCTCAACCAAAAATGTCAATAAAAATTATTTTTAAAAAAAGTCTGATTAAGATACCTTGGCATCACCAGGGGCAAAGAAATTTTCTTCAACTTCATTAACATCCATTGCTTCAATAACTCGCTGTATATATATCTATGACAACAGCTCTATGTCGGCTTAAAGTTCAATAATACTACAAGAAGAAAAAGAACCCGAATCAGTGACAAGTTAACAAATAAACCAAATCTATAGAAGGCAAGCCAGATAGATCAATGTTTTATAGAAATGCAATGTGTACTGCCCAGAGAAAGTATAAACGAACAGAGCAAAGAAGACGAAAAGGTGGTTGGTTGGGGCATTTCAACAAACAAATTAGATGCAAAATCATCATAATACCAAAACCCCAAAAAAACAACAAAGCAAGATTCTTGGTTGTCAAGAAACAGAACACAAGAAAAAAAATCAAAAACCCCTAAAAGCAATCTGGTTAATTCCTCAAACAAATACCCAGATGAACACAAAAATCCGTTTTTTTTGAATCGGGTGAAAAACAGAGGAACATACGTACCAAAAATGAATCTTTAATCTGCATCTGGTAGAAGTAGACTTAATAAAGAGAAGTCGATCACAAACCAAAAAAACAGAGAATCAAATGAAGAGCATCAGAGGCATTAGTATAATGATTAATTTCTTCTTCCTTGGAGATGCTGTTTCTGGGTAGTTTCTAAAGAGGGTCTGATTTACAAGTTTCCGAGCTTATCAAGGCAAGTTTCTCGATCCCAACAATAAGAGAGAAGAGAGGTTTGGCTATGGTTGATACCGAATGGAGATTTTTTGAAGGAAAAATAAAAATAAATATTTTTTTAGTGAAAGAAAATAAGGAGAAGTTCTTCTCAAGTCAAAATAAAGCCAAAACTTGCGAGTGGCAATTGCAAGGTCGCAAGTACACACACACAACAGATTTGTCTTTTATTTTTAATTATGTTTTTTGTAAGAAAAAGATTCTGTTATTCTTTAATCATTTTATCAACTCACTTAATTTTTCAAATGATTTTGAATATTACTAGATTTCCATTAGCAACGGTATTATTAGGGGACATTTTAATTATTAGAAAGAATAAAAAACAGCTTCTTAAGATACTCATAATTTCGATTTACATTATGTGGTAAAAACATATCATTATGGTGTTGTTTAAATTCAAAATGCAATGTAATTTAGTGAAAAGAAAATGCAATGTAGTTTCAAATGTGTTTGTTCTGTTTTGTATTTACAATGATGTACATACAACGGTAGTTACCATAAATTAGAAACTTAAGTGAAGTTTTTATATTATTCACAGAAACTGTTGATCATTATTTACCAAAAAGATTTCATTCTAATTGGATTTTCTAATTTTATACTATATAAGTTTCTTTTTTGGTCGACTGGTAGTTGAAAATGAGTAATAAAATAATAGAGATACAATGATGTGGAATAAACAGCTTTTGACATTTTTTTTTCTACATAAAAATAAAGTATGGCGAAGGGGCAATGAGAGGTCCAATTTTCACCGACATTTCATGTTGTAATAAACACGTCTTTCATATTATATTATTTATATATAAAAAAGAACTGCATCATTTTTTTCTTCCTCTAAACCAACTAGGTTCACCTCTATTGACTAGGACTTGTGGGCCAGTGGTCTTAGTCCATTGCTTGTCTCTCTGTCAACCGGTTCGAATGGACTCGGTTGAAATAAAAAGTTCATCGTCAGCCATAGTGTACTGTTGACAAACGACAATACATTTCGATGTAAAAAAAAAAGGACTACCTATTGCAGAGTTTAGTAAAATTATCTTCCTATTTTTTTTAATCACCGAATGTTCTAGTTATTCTAATTACAAAAATTGACGAAGATGATGATCTTTGGTTTAATTTTGAAATGTTGGTAACAAGAACTAGTTCAATTTTGATAAATCGACTCTAGTTTGTAACAATTCGTATTATTTTGAATTGAACTTTAGAACTAGTGAAGAAACAAATTGTTTTTGAGATCCAAGTTAATGTTACGTAAAGCAAAGAAAGGAAAGAAAGTAAGAAAGAAATGTTTGAATTGGGGTTAGAGAGGGAGAGTTGAAGAGATTTGCCGACTTCGACGGCCGACACGCGCCGACAATACATGCATATGTCGGCTATTTAGATCTCTACATTAAATTATCCTAAATTACAATAATACCTTCTCTCTTATTAATCCAATATTCTTTGAATCACCCTTTATTATTTTTTGTTTTATGTTTTTTTAGAAATTATTTGTTGTCAACCATGTTAGCTTTTTTTGAATTATTCTGTCCCAACATTTGTAATGATTTATACATTATTTTTTTCAATTTTGCGATTTGATATTAAAGTACTCCAAAAATAATATTAAAAACTTTTCAAGGCTAACATTGTCGTTTTTTATATAGATATGAATTATCGCCTAATAGTAAAATAACGTTGAGTTGTGGGTCTTGGATAGTAGAGGCTGAAAATCCTTTAGAGTTTTTGGTTTGTTGGATCGTACATATATTGGACTGAAAATTTAATATATTTGTTAATTAGTTGAGGGTTTCCTCTTCTTATTTATTTAAGAGACGTATCAAATAAGTCATTATAAAGTACTAACTCTGGGAAATTTGTCCACGAGTAACAATGTAAACCTCAGATGTGGTCAATGAAAAATATAAAGGATTTAAACATGATTTTTTTTTTGGGCAAAAAAAAAAAAACCAAATTTGTAATTGTCCTTCCACAACAGAAATATGTAAGGGAGAGTCTAACATTAAAACCAAAAAAAAAAAAAAAAGTAAATATGTAAGGACATATTGATCTATCACTGATACAAAAAACAGAGGAATTAATTTCACTTGCACAAAAACAGAGGAATTTTAAGGGGGAAAAAATCACAAAGAACTTGATAGAGATTTACCTAATCCACAAAGAAAAAGAAGCTATGTTGTAAGAACCCACATGGAGAAGAATCTCTGTCGATTTCGATTTTGTGTTTAGATAAAACAGTACTAAGCAAAAAAGTTAGGACTACTTAACAGTTTACCAAAAAAAAAAAAAAAAAAAAGTTAGCACTACAGGTTTGCTTAGGAATCAAGTTTTGTCTAGTATAAACAAAAAACACCTCTCTCTCTGGCTTTTCATACAGCAGAAGCAAACGCATCAGCACAAAAGCGACTTCTAAACTTTACCATGAAGTTGAGAGAGAGAAAGAGAAAGAGACATAAACTGAAGAATCAAAGAGGAGGAGGGAGATGCGGATGAGCCTTCACTTAAACAAGAAGCTTCTGTAGCAGAATATGTGTCACTTTCACACTTGTCTTCAAAGCAAAACCTGCACCAATAGCCACAAAGCTCATATCTCAATTGCAGCAGAAAAGGAAAGAAAACATTGCAGAATTATCCATCCGAAGATGGGATCCCTTCAGACACCGATAGGAATGAGAAGCTCCTCGTTGTTAGATACATCCTGCGGATATTTGCTCAGAGAGTTACAGGCAAGTTTGTTTGATGGTGCTTTCTGTTTTTTGAAGTATAATGGTTCAAAATCAAGAGTTATCTAATAGATGGATGGTCACTGTTTTGTGCACAGATGATATGGGATGAAGTTGGAGAAGATAAGTTTGAGAGAGAAAAAGTTTTGCTTGATATAGAGCAGGAATGTGTAGAGGCTTACCGGAGAAAAGTTGACCAGGCCAATGTTTCGAGGTCTCGTCTACATCAAGAGTTGGCAGAATCTGAAGCCGAACTCACCCATTTTCTTTTATGCCTCGGTGAAAGATCAGTACCTGGAAGGGTAATTTTCATTATGAAGCAAAGATTTTTCATTAAGCAAAATCAAGACTAGTCCACATTTTCAGATAATTTTGTTGTCATTCTCTATACAGCCGGAGAAAAAGGGAGGAACACTGAGGGAGCAGCTGGATTCTATAGCGCCTGCACTGCGTGAGATGAGGCTGAGGAAAGACGAGAGAGTGAAGCAGTTCCGATCTGTCAAAGGGGAAATTCAGAAAATTTCAGCAGAAATAGCAGGTAAATCAACATATGAAGACTCAACTAGACAGATAACCATAGATGACAACGATCTTTCTGATAAGAAACTCGAGGAATATCAGAACGAACTGCATAGACTCAATGATGAAAAGGTACATTTGTAATACCAAATTGGGAAACATTCATTTAGTGAACATGCCTTGGTTTTACTTATCAGACAGTTCTATCTTATCCCTCATGTGTTGTCTTTGATTGTTTTGTCACACAAGAATGAGAGACTACAGAAGGTTGATATATACATATGCGCCATCCGAGATCTATCAGCTACATTGGGAACAGAAGCATCAATGATCATAACAAAGATTCACCCAAGCCTAAACGACCTCTATGGAATATCCAAAAACATCAGTGATAATATATTAAAAAAGCTTAATGGTACTGTTGTGTCTCTCGAAGAGGAAAAACACAAGCGCCTTGAAAAGGTGAAGCTAACTAGACATGTTTCTATTCATTATCTATCCTAAGAATATATAGCTTAACAAATAACTTGAAACACAAATTAATCAGTAAAGAGACGCACATTTATCAAAGAGATAAGAGGTTGTTATCTGACCTTTTAAGACATCATTTGTGCAGCTTCACCATCTTGGTAGAGCTTTATCGGACTTGTGGGATCTGATGGATGCATCTTATGAAGATCGTCAAAAGTTTTCTCACGTCATTGATTTACTATCATTTGCACCATCAGACGTGTGTGCTCCTGGCAGCATTACATTAGACATAATTCAACAGGTAAGTATATAATTATGTAGACATGTAGTACAGTGGTTCGGAACCAATGATAACTGATGTTGACCGCCTTTTCTTTTCTGCAAATTTTTCCCAAGGCTGAGGCTGAAGTCAAGAGACTAGATCAACTGAAAGCAAGCAGAACCAAAGAACTTTTCCTCAAGAAGCAAAAGGAACTAGAGGATACATGCAACATATCGCATATGGAAACTCCATCAACCGAGATAGGAAATATAACAAACCTTGTAGACTCTGGTGAGACAACCTGTAACTTTTTGCAACTGCTGGGTGTTTTTGTTATACATGTCAAACTCATTGCAGAGTTTTCATACTCTATTTTAAAGGAGAAATTGACCACGTCGACCTTCTCACCGCCATGGATGAAAAGATAGCAAGAGCAAAGGAAGAAGCAGCAAGTAGAAAAGGAATAATTGAAAAAGTTGATAGGTGGATGTTGGCAAGTGATGAAGAGCGCTGGCTAGAAGAATATGACCAGGTTCCGCTATTCTCAAATTACTTTTCTATGAAAGTAGCTACATTTTTCCTCTGTACTTTAACTCATGCAAGAAACACTAACGTTGTCACTTGTCACAGGACGAGAATCGGTACTCAGTGAGTAGAAATGCTCATCGAAACCTAAGGAGAGCAGAACGGGCACGCATAACAGTCAGCAAAATCACAGGTAATAAAAGCAGTTCCTTGTGGTCCAACACGAATAAAGCTACAAACGACCCTGCTTTTTCTTTTATGTTATGAAGCAAGTACACACTGACCCTTGTATGATATTCCTACCAGGATTAGTGGAATCTATATTGGTTAAGACTAAGAGCTGGGAGGTTGAAAGACAGAAAGTCTTCTTATACAATGAGGTAACACAACTTTATGCCTTTGTGAATGAAAAATGATAAACTCTGAATAAGATAGAACCATCACCTGTTACCTCTCCAGGTACCTCTTGTTGCAATGTTGCAAGAATACAATAAGCTGAGGCAAGAAAAAGAAGTGGAGAAGCAAAGGCTCCGGGTTGGTCTCTCAAAAATCCATGACTAACCAAACTTTATAAGGAAATTGGAACAAGTTTTGACAATAAAATGGTTATAAAATGCAGGAAATGAAGAAGATGATGAGCATTCCACAACCTGTGCCTGAGCCAGATAGTTTTTACATGTCAAGGCCAGCTACCAGCAATCGGCGGACAACAAACCGAAGCATCAATGGTGGATATGGCAGTGGAAGTCCTATAAACCGAAAGTATTCAGGAGGATTCAACAATACTAACAATTACACAGCACTTGGAACATCTATAAGAAGAGAAAGCAGAAAGAGTCAGGCATCAAAACTACCTGTCCTTAGGCTTAATCGTGATGACACAACATCTGTTGTATCACTGTTTTCAGGTCCATTGTCTCCTTGAACACTTGTTCATTTATATGTTTTCACATTCAAAAATAAAAGTATAATCCTGTAACAACAAGATTTGAGTTATGACTTTCGGAATCTCCACTCACACAGGTTCATGTTTTCATAGATTGAGCTTCCACAGTCTTTAACAGTAGTTAGGAAACAGTTAGAATCGACTCCAATTTCAAAGCAAATTGAGAGAGAAAGGCGTTGAATTGAGATACGTATAATTATTGGCTAAGCCCAATTCAACGACAAGAGAGATACCTGAATTCACCCGGCTGGTCCGGCGGAACGATATACCGGTCTGAATTTTGGAATTATTATTTTTTGGTCAAAGAAATTTATAATAATAATTAACATAAATGAAGGTTTATTATTATTATCACTAATCACAATGCTAGCTAGGAGGACCCCGTGATCAGTACAACTAGTTCCTAAAGCAAAAGTGTATCTTGAAGTTGAGCCTAACAAATTGTGTATTGGAGAATTGGAGAAATAGTTTTGAAAGAAAAAAAGAAATATAGGGTTGGCGATCTATTTTCTCTGCGGCACTATTATATAGCATCAGATTTACACAAATTTGGACCTCTATCTATTTCTTCATCAAAACAAAGTTTTAAACTTATTTACATCCGAGATTAAACTGATCCATATCAAGATGAGAAATAATAAATATGGATTGATGAACACAGTTTATGCATTCTGGTGCCAAAAAAAAGACTAAAGAATTTACAGTCGTTGTCTATTTATCTGTTAGTGTTGATTCAAACTATAAGGTCTTACTCTTACATAACATCAAGAGAATTTTCGTCTATTTTAAGTCAAGTAGACTGTTGTGGTGCTCTAGCGTAAAAATTCAGATGAAAATATTACCATCACTGTATTTCTTATTATTCTCACCAATCGTAAAGAGAATTTTTCATATTTTCGTTGAAATTCTTTTGTTTTTTTTTTGTTGTTGTTGAATTCTTTTGTTTTTTACGTATTGACAACTTTTTCCTTTTTTTTTCTAAAGAAAAACATACAATAATCCAATAAATGTACAAATAAACTTTTTCTTTTTTTCTCTACGTCCTTTTTCGATTTTTTTCTCTATTACCTATATTTTCCATTACTCTAACACAATACTAGACACATCCAAAGTATTTCCACTTACATATATATTCAGTATAATACTATAATGTTACTATTAATTAACAATATGGTTACAAAAAAAAAAAAACAGATACGACTTAAATATGGTGACTATTTGGATTCTATATATAGAAGTTAAAATTTATGGAATATTTGAAGCAGATTTTTAGAAGACACCTCTTATTGGTTTTCGCTTCCACTTGTATTTTTCCACGAGATCTAATATTGGTAAACCGTCCACATCGCAACTTGTACATTTTATAAAATTCCGTTTGGGTTTGATTGAAAATCCAACACAACAATTTATCGAGAGATACTTGTCGTCATATTTATTTTCCTTTTAATTAATTTAAAAAGGTAAATCGCAAAAATACTCGCAATACTCTGTTGGAAATAAAATATGCAATAATTACCTTACGTGACATCAGAAGAAAAGTCTTGAGTTACGACCACTTACCAGCTCACTCCACATAGCTATCTCAATATAGTTGAAATTAGACTGGTCAACATTAAAAAGTCTTAAAAACGAGTTTAGAATTCGGCTGATGAAAAGTCTACGTTCTCCTCAAATAATTTATTTAGATTCTTATACGATAAAAATGACTAATTTTCATAGTATATGATAAAAATGTGATATAGAATGCCCATGAAATTTTGGAAAGTCTGTAACTAACAATAACGAAACATGAGATGCAGATCCAAAACTGTCGGCACTAAATCAGATAATAAGTGAACCCAATGCTGTAATAAGACTCCTCGAAAAAAGTAAGATAAAAAGGGCAAAAGAGGAAATAAGGAGAGACGTGTCGCAATCTTAGCAAAACCTATAATCACCAGAGTCAATCGTAGCGTTCGCAGCCGCCGGAGGAATAGCGAAATGCCATAACCTCCCGGCGGCGTTGACTCTATACTTCCGGCATAAAAACTCTTCGGCGAAAGTCTTCTCCACCCTCCGATTAACGTCGTGCAAGAACACGTGCGTAACTCCTGGTTTCTTCCGGTTCCTAGCCATAACCGCCGCCGAGAAAATCGCCGCCATTCTTCCCGGTGCTTCAGGGAAGTAACCTTTAGGAGCATCGAGCATTAACAGATCCCACTCTGTATCGTAGAACTCATCGGGCAGTCCCGTGAGAGCTAACTTACACTTCTCGTTTCCCCGGAGATAAGATTTCGCCGGAAAACAGTTTGGCTCCGTTTTGTACGACCGTAGAAGCGAATCGGCTTGTTGAAGCTGCGTCCTATAACGCACGTGATGCGCACGTAAGAATGGAGAGTCTTTGGTCACTTTCTGGAACCATTCAAGATCTTCCTCCAAGAACAAGGTTTTGCCACGTGGATTTAAAGAAGCCCACATGAGCGAGTCGCGGCCGAGACCGAAGACGAGGAAGTTAGCCGGAGCTAGCTTTTTCAAGATGTTGAAAGAGATCGAGATCTCAGCAAGATTCTGTTGTGGGACAACGGTAGATGTCGCGTAGTGGACGATCGCTTGAAGCTGGATCGGAGTCGCTGAATAATCAGCCGCTGCAGCCACCGCTCTGCTTTTGGCGTTCGCGGTGGAACAGAGGAAGAGAGTTTCGTCAGCGGCTCGTATGAAGCTTGTGAAGAGTAAAGCACCGCCAACTAAACCCGCGAGTAAAACACCGGTGATGATCCATCGTTTCTCCGATGGGATTAACGTGTTCATGTTTTGATCGATCTCAGATCTGATTATTTTTTATTTATTTTTGTTCTGGTTTTGTGGTTTGGTCGAGAGACGACCTCGGAGGAGAAAATAGAAATGTGAAGAGGATTGTTCATTGGGGGACTGAATAGGGATAAAAGATTTGGGATATTTTTTCTTGGAGATGGTCTGATTAAATGACACGTGTCCATATCCGACCTTTGAAGTAGCTTTGGCTGAAGTGGATGATGTGAACAAGACACGTAACAATGGCTTATTCGAATTTTGAAAAAATATCTGTGGACATATGTTATTTTAATTGGAGTATGGGGTTTAGTGCCCACTTGTTTACTAAAGATAACAATTAACAAGTTGTTCTTCGTTCATATCAAATAAAATATAAGTAAAAAACAAGATCTCCCATACAATTTCAATTGTTTTCGTCTCAATATGTTTGTAATCTGTTATTTTTCAAGCTATAAATGTTGTTTGTGATAAGATCCGTTTTACTACATTTGAGTACTTAGCTCAAATTCAAAATCCAAAAATTTGTATTTCTGAAACCAGTTTTTGAGTTAAATTTCTGTTTTTTTATGGATTTTCTTATTTTGAAACTGTAAGAACGTAGGTTTCATAAGATTTTAGTGGTTTTGTAGTGAATTGTTCGACAAATAGGGACTGAACAAATTTTCGTCATTTAAGTTCCAACTATTTGGCCGGCCTTAACTGATGGTCGATACGAGTAATGGCCATTGGACAAATGATGATGGATATATAGAACCTCAAGATATTAGTTTGCAAGGATTACATTCGTCTGGTAATGAATATAATCGTTAATTTTGTTAATTGATTTTGAAATACACAAAATACATATATTCTTAATAAACATACATTTTTAACCAAGCCTGTTTTAAAGAGCCAATAAGATAACATTCTCTGCTATTTATTTTTCCTTAAAAGTTTACAAAGGTTTTCTTTGTGTCCAGATATTCCTGACACAATCGTATAATATATATCATAGTCTCTATGTGTGTATATATTAGTTTTTTTAAAACAAAGCAAAAGAAACTTCAAAGATTACGAGTCACACCACTTCTTGAAGACTCGTCAATTGCTTATAAAACCCATTAGGTATTGAAACAAGCTCTCTATGACTTCCCTTCTCCACAACTCTTCCCTTATGCAACACAGCGATCGTGTCTGCTTTTCTTATGGTCGAGAGCCTATGAGCCACCAATACAGTGGTCCGTCCCTTCATCAGCTTGTCTAGCGCCTCTTGGACTAGTTTCTCCGAACTCGTGTCCAAAGCACTTGTTGCCTCATCAAGGAGAAGCACTGAAGGATCCTTTAAAACCGCCCGTGCAATAGCCACTCTCTGTTTCTGACCACCTGATAACTGCACTCCCTTATCACCTACGTACGTCTTGTACCCTTCTTCCATCCTGCTTATGAACTCGTGCGCGTTCGCGGCCTTTGCAGCTTCGATGATCTCTGACTCTGATGCGTTCTCGTTCCCGTACTTGATGTTCTCGTGTATTGTTGTTGAAAACAGAGCTGGCTCTTGCTGAACTAACGCTAGCTTCTTGCGCAAGCTACGTAGGTTTAGGGTTTTCATGTCCTGCCCATCGATGCAGAGATTTCCGTGGCTAGGGTCGTAGAATCTCATGATCAGTCCGATCACCGTGCTTTTTCCAGAACCACTAGGTCCCACGACCGCAAGACTTTTCCCGGCTGAAACTCGGAGATTTAGGTTTTGGAAAATGTCAATTTCAGGTCTCATGGGATACACAAAACTCACGTTTCTAAACTCTATATCTCCTTTGATCTGACTAACCATTCTCGAGTTAGGCTGGTCTGGAGGTATCTCAGTCTCTCTATGTAAAATCCTAAAAACTGACCCGAGTGCTTGCGTGCCCTTCACGATATCTGGTGTCAAAGCAAGCGTTTCCGAAACTGAGAAAGCCGTGACGATTAACACCATAAAAGATTTGATACTATCCCCAAAATTCGTCTCCTTATGCTTGATCGAAACCGATACGTACCAGAGACCAAGAGCGTAGGAACAGAACGCAAGAAACTGAGACAAACCGTATCCAAATCCAGAGATATGACCTCTAACAAAGGCATTCTTGGTGGGCTTGCTTAGCTCACAAGTAAACTGTTCCAAGATCTGCTTTTCGGCACCAAACGCAGCGACAGTTCTTATATTTGCAATTGCTTCACGCGCCACTGAAGTTGCTCTAGAGTAAGCCCTTGTGTAGTCTCCTCCAAAGCCTTTTAGAAATAGTTGCTATAACATGTAACATTCAAGCTTATTCAGTTTCAAGATTCATAGTATAGTTGAGAGGATCTTTGATTCTGAGTTACCTCAGTAAGTGAAGCGGCAATGAGAAGAGGAAAACAAGCCGTTACGACAGCTGCAACACGCCAACTGTAGAAAAAGGCAAGTGCTAATGCTGTGACTGTAAGAGACAAGTTTTGCACTATTGTCGAGAGGCGATCCGCTAGAGCACTCCTCACCAAAGTTGCATCAGCAGCTAAGATTGAAGTAAGTGAGCCAGTGTTGTTCTCATCTAGATCAAACCATCCAATCTCATTTGAAAGAATAGCTGCAATTGTTGTAGAGATAGTAAGATACACATTAATTCAAGAATCAAATCGATCCCAAAACAGAGCATTAAACAGAGCAATTGTTTTTTGTTTACCTGAGAACAAGGATAAGCGAACCCGAGAAGTAAGACGCTCTCCCATAAGTGTATAGAAGTAATGTTGGAGAAGATATATAGGTGCTGTTACTATTCCAACTCCAACAAAGATAATAGCTACCTTTTCTACGTCGCGCTTGATCGCATTAGGAAAAGGCGAATAAAATGCAGTTAACACATAAGCAATCCCCATAGAGAACAATGGAGTTTGTGCTCCAGCAAGAACTGCACCAATTGAGCCAAGTAATGCATATGGCCATTCTGGAGAATTCAGCTTTATAAGTTCCCATATCATTGAAGATGAGCTAAAATCTTTGTCATTTGAATCATTTTCAGTCTTCTCTTGGTCTTCCCTGAAGCTTGAAGTCCTCCTTGAGCTAGATATTCTTCTTGAACTAGAAGATCCAGCTTGAGATTTACAAGTTTCAGACATAATTGATCTCGAGTTTTCTCGAGGTTCTGTCTCTTGGCAATTCACAAGAGTCGCGTAATCTCCTCCTCTTGACATCAATTCTGAGTGGCTTCCGGTTTCCGTAACCTGACCATTTCTCAATACAACAATCTTGTCAACATTTCGAATGGTAGATAATCTATGTGCAACGACAATTGTTGTTCTTTTTTCCCTGACATTGTCAAGTGCTTGCTGAACAATCTTCTCTGATTCGGCATCAAGAGCGCTCGTTGCTTCATCTAAAAGTAATATCTTTGGATTTCTTAGAACTGCTCTAGCAATGGCAATCCTCTGTTTCTGACCTCCAGAGAGTTGAGTTCCTCCTTCTCCAACCTATTTGAATGGTTTGACCAAAAATGATCAAGTGGAAATATGAGAAAATATGAGTGTGTAAATTTGGATAATTTACCTGAGTATTGTAACCACTAGGTAATGATTTAATGAAAGAATCTGCATTTGCTGCTTTAGCAGCTTCTATGATCTGATCCATATTCGCATTCTCTTTACCAAAAATAATATTGGAAGCTATAGTCGTGGCGAATAATGCCGGTTCTTGACTCACTAATCCAAGGTGTTCTCTCAACCATTTCAGCTTTAGGCTCTTGATGTCATTTCCATCCAAGAGAATCTTCCCTGAGTTAGGTTCATAGAAACGTTGCACCATTGATATGATTGTGCTTTTCCCTGAACCACTTGGACCGACAAATGCAAAAGTCTTGCCCGAACGTATTGTGAAACTAAGATTCTCAAAAACCATGTTTGGTCTAGAAGGATATGCGAAAGACACTTGATGAAACTCAATCCTCCCAGCTACATTTTGCAATGTTGTTCCATTTTCTAGTCTCTCAGAACTTTCAAGATTGTTGTTTCCTATCATTCTGAATATATTTGCAGCAGCAACTCTGCCTTTCGTAATCGCGGATAAGCTAGGCGCGGCTTGACCTAAGGCGCTGAAAATGCAACAAAATAATTAGTACATATAATGCAATTTGATGATATATATATATATCAAGCAAGAGGTCTCAAGTATGTTGGACTTACAATCCACTGAAAATGACATTGAGGATCGTTGTGAAGGCTTTTGCACCATTGGTTTTGCCGTGGCGTACAAGAAGACTTGCATACCACAAAAGCAATGCCCAAGAACAGAACAAGAGGCTATATGTCAATCCAACTCCTAAACCTTTAGCAAGTCCGCTCCTTTTACCGAGTTTCAAAGCTTTCTTGAGAGAATTTGAGTAAGATTTTACAGCTTTCTCTTCTCCTACAAATGCATACACTGTTCTCACCTGTGACATAACCTGACGATCCATAGAGAATTATGTTTTTTACGATTAATCCAAATGTTACGAACTGAATAAAAAAATAAGAGATATAGTTCTTGATTGTTGCGTTTGCTCAAAAATATTTTTTGTGAAAAACTTGAAAATATTTTTGCTAAATTTGTTGTGATAAACTTCTTTCACACTTAAACGTAGAAAACAGTTAAGAAAATATAAACAAGCAAACCTCTTCTGCGACTTTTCCTGCATCAGCATAAGCAGTTTCACTCTTCTCTGAGATTGTGGACATGATTATAGCATACCCTCCTCCTGCAACTGCTATTAATGGAACCACTGCTAACGTGAGCAGCGTTAGTTGCCATACTGACAAAAAACCGATGACAAATCCCGCGATGAACTGAGATAAATACCGCAAAACATGGTCTGTCTGAAACAGAACAAAACATTTCATCAGTTACATTTTTTTGTTTGTTTTGTATTTACAATGAATTCATATATTAGTAAAAGTACCTTATCGCCAATTGCATCTTGAACCAAGATTGCGTCGCTTGAGATGTGAAAAACGAGATTTGAATCTCTAGCTTCTGTGTCAAAGAAAGTAATGTCTTTTGCTAAGATCGATTTGAGATAATTTATACGCAATCGCCCTGTTTGTCTTTCCCCTGTTTGCATCCAACAAGAAACTCCTGCCAATAGACCATTTCAA